TACAACTTTTTTCATAAAAGTTCAAGATTGACTATTACACATGTTCATGAGATACTTAACGTAGAGGAAAGTTGGTATTTACTTGAAAAATACAAAAGGTAAGTAGTTTAATACGTTTTATTAAAACTTTTTGCCAATAATTTTCTTAAATAATTGTTTATAATTTAATACTATTATTTAAAATTTAAAATTATTTCATTTCAATTTTTACAGAACATAATTTCATATCAGATGTTAACCTCAAAACAATTGAAAGGGCAGTTTTAAAAAGCCATATAGATGTTAAAGATTATGATATTACTAAAACTCTTACAAAGAAAATATGTACACGGGAGTAAGTTATCACATATATTATTTAAATATTTAAAATCATTATTTCTCTTAAATAAATAGAACTTATCTTAAAATTATATAAATTTACAGGTGTATAAAAATGATAAAAGAAGCTGGAGATCATGCAAATTGAATTAAGTTCATTTGAAGTGATAAGACTTTAAGTTTCTATTTTAATATTTTGTTGGCATAATTAAAAATATTTTTTCAATATCTTCTAGATATTTTTTCTTCCTCCAATATTGTTTATCATATATTTTAAAGTTTATTAATTTGTTAATTAAAATTTTTATTTTTATTATGATTTAATATTTTTAATTATAATATTTATAATATATATTTTTTGAACATGTTAATAATTTAATAATATTAATTTATATTTTTATTTAAATTTAAATAAAATTAAAATAATCTGTGCACTGTACGACTAGCAAGCTAGTTGATAATATATTTATGATTACCACCTATATCACAATCATAATTTTTTTTAATTATAAATATAAATAAAGCTATTTCAAACTGTTAATAATCAAATAATATGAAAATATGTTGAATATTTGATGAAAAACATGAAAGAAAAAGAAAAAGGAATTAAATTAAAATAAAAAGAAAATGAAATCATAGCAAAAAGACATAGTATTAGGTAATTTGTCCTATATGCACAAATCAAAATCGGGCAAATCTTTACTCGAAGTAGAGCATAAACCTAAAAAAATTAGAGAAATTAGGGTTAACATCGTAGGCAAAAGTTGAGCTGGCAGTTAACAATCCAATCAAGAGTAACAAGTTGAAATCTCCATGTGTCAGTTGGTGGTCAATTAAAATAATCGAATTGATATAGATCCCAAAAATTCAAATTAACTCGACATATCACTTCAACTAAAATAACCAAATTACAACCACTTAACAACTAACTTACACTATAAAAAAAAAAAAAAAGAGAATTTTAAACGCACCTACGTTTTTGCTTTATACACCTTATTTTTTTTCAAAATTTTTTGCAAGTAAAATTATTAAAATATCAATTTCACAAATTTTATTTCTAAAAAATAATAATACATCTCAAAATTACAGTACCAATAAGTTATAACACTTCTTAGGAATACATTTTCAAGAGTGGTGGAATCGAAATTTTATGAAAACTTTAAAAAATTTTATTAAAATTATTTGTAAATAATTGTAATTAAAAAAGTTATTTTTAAAAAAATATAAATTTTAAAATTAATAAAAAATTACTTTTACTATTTTCATCTTAGAGAAAGAATAATATCTTATGAGACCTTAATTAAATTAAAGATAAAATATCAAATATAATTTTTTTATAGATTTAAAATTTATTATTTTGTAATAAATATTTTTTGTAGTGATTATTAAATTTTTATAATAATTTTAATTAAACTGAATTCCCTAAAAAAGTCTCTTCATCTACTTATCATGATGAATTTCTCCAATTAACATATGAAATTTTGATAAATTATATAGTATTTAGTACTATTACTTATACTGCCTCTTTATTCATAAGTAGGCGATGCTAATAAAAAAAAATATTCAATTTCAAATTAGTTCTAATTCTTCCAACACATTTCCTATTGATTCTCAAATTTGTATGAAACCGAAAATATGGCAATGGTGATTTTATAGCATTTTGACAAAATTGTATAGTATTTAATAGTATTATTTATATAGTTTTAAAGGAGTTTCAGCTTTTATATATTAATCAAACTTGATAATTTTTTCATCACCCTTTTAATATCAAGAAATAAAATATTTGATTAAAACTTTATAAGATTTTATTTTTTCTAAAATTAAAATAGTAAAAGTGATTTTTAATTAATTTTAAAATTTATGATTTTTTTAATAATAAATTTTTATTACATTAATTTATAAATAATTTTAACAAAATTTCTTTTTTTATAATTTTCCATAAGTTTTCAATTTTTTCTCTTGAAAATATTTTTTCGAGAAGTGTTATAATTTTTTAAAAATAATGGATATTCAAAAACTAATAAAAAATATTTAAATAATTTCATTTAAAAATTAAAAACAGAGATATATTTGAAAAAAAAAAAAAGATAAGATGTATTTAGAACTCTCAAAAAAAGAATCTATTTTATCCTCTGAACATTAAAATGCCCCTAACCAACGACAACCTAACATTCATGCCCTGCTCAACCTTCCCTCAAAAAATAAAATAACAGTCACATCATTGCCATACAAAATATGGGACCAAATAGTAACATCCCGTTGGTCTTAGTAGATTCTTGGCACCACTGTCGGTAAAGTTATTTGCGAGTTACAATAAAATACGAAAATATTGAGTTTTTGGTAATAAATTCCAATCCTGTGATTGGAGTTCTTAGAATATAAGGGGCCTTAAGGGAAGGCATTTTAGATTTGGATAAGGGATTTTCAATTTGGCTTTAGGGTTTGTAGAAAAGATTTTGGGGATTTGGTAGTTGGATTTTAGGGCGTTAAATAAGTATTTATTCACGAGCACTCTAAAGGTCCATTTATTGGTTAGTCATTCTCCAACATAGTTTAGTGAGCAAAGCTTGATTAAGGGGTTGACTTTTTTTAACCTAAGGCCACCGATCTTTAGGTTTTGTAACTTCACTCCATCTCATTTTGTGGAGTCTTTTGTTACTTTCGCCTTCTTCCCAAAGGAAAATTCGGTTGATATCAATGATACATTAATATATTTAATTATAAAAAATAAATAAAATTAATAATTGAATTAAAATTAAATTAAAACAATATGAAGATTAAATTTAAATAATAATAGAGAAATTAAATTTTTAAATTTTAAAAAATAAATTTTAGCATAATTTAACCCTCTTTCCTCATTTAATTTCCCATTTGTCTTCTCATCTAACTCCATTCTTTTTTTTTTTTTAATGTCTCCAATAACCAAAAAAAATTGACCCTTATGATTCAATGTACATGAATTTTTTATATAATTGACCCTTATGATTCAATGTACATGTACTTTTATGTTTCAACATTCCATTATTTTTGTCTCTCTTTCTATTTCTTCATTTAATTTCTCATCTGTCCTTCCATCCATCCCTATCTTTTTGTTTGCTAAATGTTGTCAATAACTTTAAAAAATCAAATCCCTCTCATATTTAAAAAAAAAAAACAGCTGTCAGGCGAAGAAGAATAGACAATTAGTCCCAAAATTTTAATTTTACAGGAAAATTAAATTCTTTCATATTAAAAATCTTTTTTAAAAATTAGTATTTTCAAATACTCATATAGAGTAATATTTAATAATAATAATTTTTATTTTTTCTAAAATATATCAAATCTATAATAAAAAAATTTCGATACAACATATAAAAATAACTTATATGTATAAAAATATATATATATTAAGTGCATAATATTATTTTTTGCATGTAACAATTTAAAAAAAAGAACATGAAGGATATAATATGAAGAAAGGTTGGTTGAAAAAAAAAGAAAATAATCATAATTAAATATTTGTCAATTCGATTTTAGTTATTATAATACTCGCATATATTTTAAACTTAAATTTATATGTTTGTGAAAGTATATTGATAATAATCTTATTTATTTTAAATTAAAAATCATTCATAAGAAGTAAACCTAATTTAAAAAGTTGTAATGTTTAAATACAAATAATTTTGTTATTATATATTCAATAGATATATAAAATAAAGAATAATATCAAAAAATATAACATACTTAGGTTTGATGGGTAGTTTTGTAATTGTTGGGGTGGATTGTCCATTTTTCAAACTAATAAACTTATGTTAAAATATTATATTCAAAACTAAAGGACTTTGATGGAATTTACCCAATTATTTTCTATATAAAATTGATTTTAGTTAAATAATTTTCTAATGTAAAATGTGATTTTAGTTTGCTTTTGCAGCCATTTTTCTTGTCTTTTCTTTTTTTTCTTTTTTTCTAATGTAAACTACAACAAGTTGTGCAGGTAAGCATTGATATCTAATTATAGTTCATACCTAGTTCTATCTAAACTTAGGCATATTTATCCTTATAGTAATTCTTCAAAATTTTCGTATAGTTTTTATTTGCACCCCAAAATTACATTCTACAATCTATTTTTTAACAACTTACATTCAAATTTCATAAACTTATTCCTATATGCATTTAAAAGGTAGGAGGATTCCTTCAGAGAATAAACTCCAAAAACTCATTTATGGTGGCAACCTGTTCATCATCAAAATTGTTCATAATTTGCGTTAAGTTATGATTGAAGACTGTAAACCTTTCGAGAGAGCGCCTTTGTTGGATGCCAAGTGCTTTAAGTGAAAAATTAACTCTAGCCTGTCAGTTTTTTGGTAGAGTTGTGTGTGTTCACTGTTTCAGAATTCAGATAGGCTGTTCTGATAGTAACCATATAACTTATGTCCTCCTATCTCATTTTTTAGTTAGATTCAGACATCATTACAACCAAGTTTTCTGGTCAGATGTCTGAATTCGGATTCAGGAAGTGCTATTTTTGTTTTACAACTTATTACTTGTTTTTATTAAAGAGGTTTTTTCTGTTTTTTTATCGTTTTTAAGCAGCATGAGTTTTTATTTTTTTTCCTGTTCTTGTTTGGAACAGTTTTTCGACAGTCGAAGGGAAAGCAGGAATGTTTAGCATTTCCTTATCTCTTGTATAATGTCTAAATTCATTCATTTCTCACACTTTTGGTCTCAATTTGGTCGAAACAACACTACGGTTGGTTCTTGATTACCTAGTCTTGTCCAGGTTTGAAAGTGGGTGCGGCATCTCAATTTCATAATACAAGTACGATTGACCCAGTTCAGTTCTCCCACGTACATAATTAAGTTTACTACAATTTATTTTTAAATACGCATATAAAATGGGCATTGGCTTGTATTTTAATTAAATGGAGATTGGCAAATGACGAAACCCATGCTCCAGACTGGCCTTCCAAACTTTATCCATGCTAAACATGGTTTGACCGCACTCATGAACGTTCCATCCTTCCAGACCATGAATAATCCCAGCCACCCGCCATGCACTCATCACTCTTCTTGGCAACCAATTCTGTATCATATTCAGATACATATCTTCAATAATTAAGAGAAAAAAAATAGTAAAAACTGGCAACTTAAGCGACATATTTTGATATGCATGCACATATCCAGTTGCCAAAGATGGAAAGAATGGTCAAGGAATTAGGAATATCTCTATACTTACCTCGCAAGAATGCAAGTTCTCCAGAGATTTAGGAGCCACCATGGCGGGAGTAGTGTGGTAGTAGCAGTCTTTGCGCACTTTCTTTGGTGGGAATTGTGAGAAGGGAATAAATAATGTCCCTTTTTTTGCCTTCAACTGTTCTCTTTCTGTGAATCCCTCCCCCACCACCCATATCTGCAAATGCTAATTACCCATTTTTATTTTTGTTTTAATAGCAGGTTAACTAGTCTTAATTACAAATTCTCACTAATCATATTCTTACAAACAAAATTTACCTTTTGATCATAGTTATCTGGAAGAACCAAGTTATTTCCAAACCTGTCACTCTGCTCAAACTGCTTGTATTTATCCTTTTTTGTTGTGGCCACCTGTTCATCAAAATTGTACTTTGTATTAAGATGTTCCATCCTATCCATCATGTCATGTCCGTTCCAGAGGAATCTTGAATATTAACTAATTTTGACCTTTTAAATTTCAATACCTGGACATCTTTTTGGCATAAAGCAAGGGCTATGGCATAAGAAACCTTAGAAAACTTGCCCCCGAGGAGCACCTGGTTTGTTCCTTCGGGAATGCTGTTCACCACAACAGCCGCTGCTAAACTGCTTCCATCCACAAGCTTGATTTTAAGCTTAGGGTGCCTTTGGATATAGAGCTCTCCATTCCCATTAAGGTCTTCATTCTGCATTAATTAACATTAATTTCAAAGGATTATGAAAATACGTTTTTTCAAATAACTTTGAAATAATTAAGGAGTGATGAAATTAAAAGCTAGGCTGGGTATAAACTTATTGCCTGGTTCAGAAGGCCTAAGCTCAGCACCTTGGCTCCCTTCTTGTCGGCTTCAAGTATAGCTTCTTCAATTAAGTTACTGACAACTTCTTTTTGCTTCCCCAAAAGGTACTGCGACACGTTCATGTAAATCAAATCTAAAAGGAAAAAACAAATTTTAAAGAGGAAAAAGAGATGAGAAACATGTTTTTATTACATGCATAGTGTATCTTGGTATCACCCAAGACTGCAGTTTGAGCTTATCTAACGCATTCCTCTCTGAAATAAATGTACGGCAATAAATCCTAGTGAAGACCACAGACCAACATGTCACAGGCCACATCGCCATCAAATACCACTTTGAAGTGAATGGCTTAGAGGCCAAGGAAGCAAAGCCAAGGCGCAAATGATAGATGGAGTCTATCGTAGTTAAATGCGTCAAATATACGATGTCCGGTGACTCTTCGTGCCTTTTGAGCGAAGACTCGTATAAAGCATCAGAGGACTTGTCCACTGTAGCATAAATGTAATCGTAAACCGGCATGAACAACGAGTAGTTGGTCCGAAATTGAGTATGATGCAAGGAGTGATATCTGCCATATACCATAAAACAAACAGTTTAATTCAGGTAAAGCATATAAGTATGGTAATGGGCACATAATGGCTCAGAGAAACTCATCAACGGAAAACTTACGTTGGGGTATACATGAAATACTTGAGAGGAGGGAAAATAGAGAAAACCCAGTTTGGAACCAGTTCGAAGTTGCAATGTCCCATATTGTTCATGAGATCAATATAAGTTATGTAACCAAATGCTGCCAGAAGGGACCCAGTGCCCGTAAATACCGTTGTCAATAATGGTATCGCAAAGAGCAAAAAGTATGCAACTTCTTCTGCAAATGGGTGAATGACCGCTGCCAAAAGAGCCATATATAGTAAATTTGTGTTACATTTGAATTAATAAATTATATGAGAGTATGTATATATGGTTGATTATCATTATTCTTTTTAAGAATGCTAGCTCACATGTAATGGGCTCGGTGGCAATGGAAGAATGGTGATGGGAGTGATAGCGAGGGTAGAGGTAATGGTGGTGCAGCGCCCTGTGAAGCCAATAATAGAGGAACTCCACTGGGCCAGCATGGAGTAGAATTGTGATAATAACTCCATCTGATCTCCATATGGGCAAGTGAGATGCTATTGGTATTATCATACGCGTCAAGTAGAAGAGAAGTCCATTTAATATAATCTGGTCATCCCTGCGTAACATGTGCCAAACCATCCATCATTATTAGGCTCAAACTGAAAAGAGAAACAATAGAGCTAATAATTAGGAGTAATTAACCAGTTGCTTTCTCTGTCAACTTGCTCAAACTCGATGCCCTTATCAACGATCCTGTTATTTCCTTTGGCAGTTCTGTAACGAGAATAAGAAACCCATATCTGATTGTGAAGGAATCTTGTGAGAAGAAATGGGAATATCAGGAAGTAGAAAAGGTCTGCCTCCTTTTCTCCTTTACACACGAGACAGTAGGTGCTGTGAACCACCCATGGAGCCAAGATAACATACTACCAAACCATCCAAACAAATGCGTTCAAGCAGTGAGCATTATACATACATATATATATATATATATATAGCCTACTACAATTATTACGCGAAGGAAGAACAATGAACAATCAATAAAGCAGTACCTTGAAGTTCCCAAGAGGTTTCCATGGCCAGTTAGTGAGAACTCCGGGATTAGTAGCCATATTTCTCTGCTGCTTGTTTCTTCATTTTCCCCACACTCCGACGGTTTATATGCTTACTTGGTGGCAATTCGTTGGTTGAAAGAGTTAAGACCACAATTAACGCGTCATGAAAAGCTAGTTGGGGTGGGGATAGGTTTGTCTTCAATGAGAAAATTATTAGTTTTCAAACCTAGAAAAGCACAAAAGCCAGCAAATTAACCCTTTGAAATCTTGTTAAAAAAAAAAGACTATTTAAAATATAATTAATTAAATAAAAAAGAGTGAGTAACGATGTCATTCATCTTAATTTAATTTACTCTGAGTAAAATAATAATCCTAATTAATATTAAGCAAAATGTATACTTTCGTCTCTTTCTATGTAGTGTTACTAATTTATCCTTTACTGTTAGAGAAAGAGAAATAAAATATCAAACATCAAACATGAATTTTGAAAAAAAAAAAAACATACATGAATATACATAATAAAGTAAATTTATTTAAATTATGAGTGAAATTTTAAGTCAAAATATCATATACTAGTTAAGAGAAACTTCCAACTGCAAATTTGCAGAAGCTGATACATCGAAGCTAGACAAATTTGGATGTCCCAAGTTCGATTAATAAAGGCAAGATGGAGAAATAGCGTTAATTCGATACTGACAGTAGATTATTGTTGTGCAATAAATCAAATCAAATAGTGACGTCCGGGTGGTTCTGGTAGGTGGTTCTTGGCACCACTGTCGGTAGAGTTATCCCCTAGTTACGATAAAATGCGAAGATAGCGAGATTTTGGTAGTAAATTCCGATCCTGTCGTTGGGTTCTGGAAGATAAAAGGGATTTCGAAAGGCATTTTGGATTTGAGTCAGGATTTTCGATTTGACTGTAGGGTTTGTAAAAAAGATTTTGGGATTTGGTAGTTTGATTTTGGGATTTTTTTTTTTTTAAGATTTGTTCTTTGGATTAGTTTTCTTTTTATAAGTTAAAATTAATTATTAAGCTTTTAAAAAGAAAATTAAAAAATATAATTTAATGTGGATTAAAAAATACTATTATCATTTAATCCACATAAATATTTTTATAAAATTAACTCAATCAAAGTATTATGTTATTTTAATCAATGAATATGTAAGCAAATATAATGATGTATTAATATATTTAATTATAAAAAATAAATAAAATTAATAATTAGATTAAAATTAAATTAAAACAATATGAAGATTAAATTTAAATAATAACAAAGAAATTAAATTTTAAAATTTTAAAAAATATTTTTTGACATAATTTAACCCTCTTTTCTCGTTTAATTTCTCATCTATCCTTTCATCCATCTCTATCTTTTTGTTGTCAAACGCTGTCGATAACTTTAAAAAATCAAATCCCTCTCATATTTAAAAAAAAACAGCTGTCAGGCGATGAAAAATGTTTTATGAATGGTCAATTTTGTACTTCATTTCTATCAAAATTGGATACCTCAACCCAATATGGATTTTTCTCTCATCGCATTAAAGTTTGTAGGGCTCAAATATATTTAATTGGATTTCTATCCATGCATGCATGAAAGATAAAAACATGGAAAACACGTTAAAGTTTCACACATGTTTAAAGATTTATATAGATGACAAGTAAAATTGGTTTTGATAAGATTATAAGGTGATAATGAGATTAAATATTATAATGATGAGATTAAAATTAATTATAAAATATGTATTTAGATATGAATATAATGATAGTGATGAAAATGAAGTATAATAAGAAAAAAATTATTATTAAGAATTATAAGCTAAAATCTGTATGTAATAGAAATCTTAAATTATTTATTATTTATGTAGTTATTTATTTGAGTTAAATCATATTAATTATAAAGATATTTATTTTTATTTATTTATTAATAATTTAGTTTATTATAGAATTTATTGTTTATTTATGTATTTATTCAACTTCTAGATATTTATTTATATAATTATAAAAATTATTTATTATAGTAAGTCTAAGAATTTATTTGAAAATTGTTAAATAAAAAATGAAAAAGAAAAAGGATAAGGAATATAGACATTTTGTCTCTAAATTATAGCTCTAAAGGTAAAAAAGAGATCCAATCAATGCATCAATCCGATTGAGACTTGCAACCACACCATAGTGTAGCTAACCGGTGGTCCAAATGGCCCATAAGAAGCGTTCCTTACTTTTATTAGTAAGCATGAACATAACAAATACAAATGTGGTTGGAAAATTCCATATCTTGGACCAAGGCTTGACATGGGCCACAATCGTGGGCTTCAAAGTCCCTTGTGAAGCTCACCGTTTTGAGTTGAACAAATTCTGTACAAATGCTTGGATATTAAGCCCATATTTCAACGTGCCATGCTTGGGCTATCACTCAGCTTCGATGGGGCCATGGATATCTAGTTGCTTGTCAAAGAAAGGAAAAAAAAAAAAGAAAAATCTGCCAAATGATTTTGGATAAATTCCATTAAGATCCTTGAGCTTTTAATATAATTAAATATAAGTCTGTTAGTTTAAAAAAGACAATTCGTCCCAAATTTTTAATTTTACAGGACAATTAAATTCTTTCATATCAAAAATCTTTTTTAAAATCCATTTTATCCTTAAAAAATAAGTATTTTCAAATACTCATATAGAGTAATATTTAATAATAATAATTTTTTATTTTTCTAAAATATATCAAATCTATAAATAAAAAATTTAGATACAACATATAAAATAACTTATATTGTAAAAAAATAAATATATTAAGTGGATAATATTATTTTTTGCATGTAACAATTTAAAAAAAATAAAAGAACATGAAGGATATGATATGAAAAAAGGTTGGTTGAAAAAAAAAAAGAAAATAATCATAACTGAATATTTATCAATTCGGTTTTAGCTATTATAATACTCGCATATTTTTTAAACTTAAATCTATATAGTTTGTGAAAATATAGTGATAATAATCTTATTCATTTTAAATTAAAAATCATTTATAAAAGTAAACCTAATTTAAAAGTTGTAATGTTTAATACAAATAATTTTGTTATTATATATTCAATAGATATATAAAAATAAAGATTAATATATAAAAATATAAAAGGTTTAGGTTTGATGGGTAGTTTTGTAATTGTCTGACTGATTGGGGTGGATTGTCTATTTTTCAAACTAATAGACTTATGTTAAAATATTATTTTCAAAACTAGAGGACTTTGATGGAATTTATCCAATGATTTTCTATGTAAAATGTGATTTTAGTTTGCTTTTGCAGCCATTTTTCTTGTCTCTTCTTTTTCTTTTTTTTTAATGTAAAATGCAACAAGTTGTGTAGGTAAGCATTGATATCTAACTATAGTTCATACCTAGTTCTATCTAAACTTAGGCATATTTATCCTTATAGTAATTCTTCAAATTTTCATATAGTTTTTATTTGCCCCCCAAAATTACATTCTACAATCTATTTTTTAACCTCACATTCAAATTCCATAAACTTACTCTTATATGCATGTAAAAGGTAGGAGGATTCCTTTAGAGAATGGACTCCAAAAACTCATTTATGGTGGCAACCTGTTCATCATCAAAATTGTACTTAATATGCGTTAAGTTATGATTGAAGACTGTGAACCTTTCGGGAGAGAGCCTTTGTTGGATGCCAAGTGCTTTAAGTGAAAAATTAACTCTAGCCTGTCAGTTTTTTGGTAGAGTTGTGCGTGTTCATTGTTTCAGAATTCAGATAGGCTGTTCTGGTAGTAACCATATAACTTATGTTCTCCTATCTTATTTTTTAGTTAGATTCAGATATCATTACAACCAAGTTTTCTGGTCAGATGTCTGAATTCGGATTCAGGAACTGCTATTTTTTTTTTACAACTTATTATTTGTTTTTATTAAAGAGGTTTTTCTGTTTTTTATCGTTTTTAAGCAGCATGAGTTTTAATTTTTTTTCCTGTTCTTGTTTGGAACGGTTTCTTGACGGTCAAAGGTTTCTATGTCTTTTCATGTTTCAAAGAAGGGAAAGCAGGAATGTTTAGCATTTCCTTATCTCTTGTATAATGTCTAAATTCATTCATTTCTCAATTTGGTCGAAAAACACTATGGTTGGTTCTTGATTACCTATTCTTGTCCAGGTGTGAAAGTGGGTGCGGCATCTCAATTTCATAATACAAGTACGATTGACCCAGTTCAATTCTTCCACGTACATAATTAAGTTCACTACAATTTATTTTTATGAACATAACATGGGTATTTGCTTGTATTGTAGTGAGACAAGGCCAGTCCTTTGATTAAATGGAGATCGGCAAAGGACGAAACCCATGCTCCAGACTGGCCTTCCAAACTTTATCCATGCTAAACATGTTTTGACCGCACTCATGAACGTTCCATCCTTCCAGACCATGAATGATCCCAGCCACCCGCCATGCACTCATCACTCTTCTTGGCAACCAATTCTGTATCATATTCATACACATATCTTCAATAATTAAGAGAAAAAAAATAGTAAAAACTGGCAACTTAAGCCACATATTTTGATATGCATGCACATATCCAGTTGCCAAAGATGAAAAACATGGTTAGAAAATTAGGAAGGTCTCTATACTTACCTCGCAAGAATGCAAGTTCTCAAGAGATTTAGGAGCCTCCATGGCAGGAGTAGCATGGTAGCAGCAGTCTTTGCGCACTTTCTTTGGTGGGAATTGTGAAAAGGGAATAAATAATGTCCCTTTTTTTGCCTTCAACTGTTCTCTTTCGGTGAATCCATCCCCCACCACCCATATCTGCAAATTCCAATTGCCCGTTTTTATTTTTGTTTTAATAACAGATTAATTAGTCTTAATTACAAATTATCACTAGTCACATTTTTACAAACAAAATTTACCTTTTGATCATAGTTATCTGGAAGAACCAAGTTATTTCCAAACCTGTCATTCTGCTCGAACTGCTTGTATTTATCCTCTTTTGTTATGGCCACCTGTTCATCAAAATTGTACTTTGTATTACGATGTTCCATCCTATCCATCATGTCATGTCCGTTTCAGAGGAACCTTGATTCTTGAATATTAACTAATTTTGACCTTTTAAATTTCAATACCTGGACACCTTTTTGGCATAAAGCAAGGGCAATGGCATAAGAAACCTTAGAAAACTTGCCCCCGAGGAGTACTTGGTTTGTTCCTTCGGGAATGCTGTTCACTACAACAGCCGCTGCTAAACTGCTTCCATCCACAAGCTTGATTTTAAGCTTAGGGTGCCTTTGGATATAGAGCTCTCCATTCCCATTAAGATCTTCATTCTGCATTAATTGACATTAATTTCAAAGGATTGTGAAAATAAGTTTTTTTAAATAACTTTGAAATAATTAAGGAGTGATGAAATTAAAAGCTAGGCTGGGTATAAACTTATTGCCTGGTTCAGAAGGCCTAAGCTCAGCACCTTGGCTCCCTTCTTATCGGCGTCAATTATAGCTTCTTCAATTAAGTTATTGACAACTTCTTTTTGCTTCCCCAAAAGGTACTGCGACACGTTCATTTAAATCAAATCTAAAAGAAAAAAAATATATTACAGAGGAAAAAGAGATGAGAAATATGTTTTTATTACATGCATAGTGTATCTTGGTACCACCCAAGATTGCAGTTTGAGCTTATCCAAGGCATTCCTCTCTAAAATAAATGTACGGCCATAAATCCAAGTGAAGACCACAGACCAACATGTCACAGGCCACATCGCCATCAAATACCACTTTGAAGCGAATGGCTTAGAAGCTAAGGAAGCAAAGCCAAGGCGCAAATGATAGATGGAGTTTGTCGTAGTTAAATGCGTCAAATATACGATGTCCGGTGACTCTTCGTGCCTTTTGAGCGAAGACTCGTATAAAGCATCTGAGGACTTGTCCACTGTACCGTAAATGTAATCGTAAACCGGCATGAACAGCGAGTAATTGGTCCGAAATTGAGTATGATGCAAAGAGTGATATCTGCCATATCCAGGTTAAGTATTTAAGTATGGTAATGGGTACGTAATGCTCAGAGAAATTCATCAACAGAAAATTAACTTACGAGGGGGTATACATGAGATACTTGAGAGGAGGGAAGATAGAGAAAACCCAGTTTGGAACCAGTTCGAAGTTGCAGTGTCCCATATTGTTCATTAGATCAATGTAAGTTAAGTAAACGGCTCCTGCTACAATGGAAGCAGTGCCCGTAAATGCCATTGTCAATATAGGGATTGCAAAGAGCAAGAAGTATGCAACTTCTTCTGCAAATGGGTGAATGACCGCTGCCAAAAGAACCATATGTAGTAATTCATTTGTGTAACATTCGAATTAATAAATTATATGAGAATACGTATATATAGTTGATTATCATTATTCTTTTAAAGAATGCTAAATGCCATTTCGGTGGTGCTAGCTCACAGGTAATGGGCTCGGTGGCAATGGAAGAATGGTGATGGGAGTGATAGCGAGAGTAGAGGTAATGGTGGTGCAGCGCCCTATGAAGCCAATAATAGAGGAACTCCACTGGGCCAACATGGAGTAGAATTGTGATAATAGCTCCATCTGATCTCCATATAGGCAAGTGAGATGCTATTGGCATTATCATATGCCCCAAGCAGAAGAGAAGTCCATTTAATATGATCTGGTCATCCCTGCATAACAAGTGCCAAACCATCCATCATTATCAGGCCCAAACTGAAAAGAGAAACAATAAAGCTAATAATTAGGAGTAATTAACCAGTTGCTTTCTCTGTCAACTTGCTCAAACTCAATGCCCTTATCAACGATCCTGTTGTTTCCTTTGGCAGTTCTGTAACGAGAATAAGAAACCCATATCTGATTGTGAAGGAATCTTGTGAGAAGAAATGGGAATAAGAGGACGTAGAAAAGGTCCTCCTTTTCTCCTTTACACACGAGACAGTAAGTACTGTGAACCACCCATGGAGCCAAGATGACATACTACCACACCATCCAAACAAATGCGTTCAAGCAGTGAGTATTATACGTATACATATATATATATACATATACATATATATAGCATACTACAATTATTACCCGAAGGAAGAACAATGAACAATCAATAAAGCAGTACCTTGAAGTTCCCAAGAGGTTTCCATGGCCAGTTAGTGAGAACTCCGGGATTAGTAGCCATATTTCTCTGCCGCTTATTTCTTCATTTTCCCCACACTCCGACGGTTTATATGCTACTCGGTGGCAATTCGTTAGTTGAAAGAGTTAGGACCACAATTAACGCGTTATGAAAAGTTTCTCACAAGTTGGTTGGGGTGGGGATATGTTTATGTTCAATGAGAAAATTATTAGTTTTCAAACCTAGAAAAAGACAAAAGCCAGCAAATTAACCCTTTGAAATCTTGTTAAAAAAAAAAAAAAAACTCCTTGAAATATAATTAATTAAATAAAAAAGAATGAGGAAAGATATCATTCATCTTAATTTAATTTGCTCTGAGTAAAATAATTATCCTAATTAATATTAAGCAAAATGTATACTTTCGTTTCTTTCTATGTGGTATTACTATTTTATGTTTTACTGTTAGAGAAAGAGAAATAAAATATCAAACATCAAACATGAATTTTTACAAAAAAAAAAGAAAAAAACGAACATGAATATACATAATCAAGTATGTTTATTTAAATTATTAGTGAAATTTTAAGTCAAAATATCATACACTAGTTAAGAGAAACTTCCAACTAAATTTGCAGAAGCTGATACATCGAACCTAGACAAATTTGGATGTCCCAAGTTCGATTAATAAAGGCAATATGGAGAATTAGCGTTAATTTGATACTGACAGTCGCATTATTGCAGTGCAATAAATCAAATCAAATAGTGACGTCCTGGTGGTTCAGGTACGTGGTTCTTGGCGCCACTATCGGTAAAGTTATCCCCTATTTTTCATTAAATGCGAAGATATCGAGAATGTGGCAGTAAATTCCGATCCTGTCGTTGGGTTCCTGGAAGACAAAAGTGATTTTGAAAGGCATTTTAGATTTGACTTTAGGGTTTGCAAAAAACATTTAGGGATTTGGTAGTTTGGTATTAGGATTTTTTTTTTTTTTAAGATTTGTTCTTTTAGTTTTGGATTAGTTTGCTTTTTTTAAAATTAAAATCAATTATTAAGCTTTTAAAAAGAAAATTAAAAAATATAATTTAATGTTTATTAAAAAACACTACTATCATTTAATCCACGTAAATATTTTTATAAAATTTATTTAGTCAAAGAATTATGTTATTTTAATCAACGGATATGTAAGCAAATCCAAAGATATATTAATATATTTAATTATAAAATTAAATAAAATTAAAATTAAATTAAAACGATATAAAGATTAAATTTAAAAAATAATAAAAATTTTAATTTTAATTTTTAAAAAATAATTTTTGACATAATTTAACCCTCTTTCCTCATTTAATTTCTCATTTGTCTTCCCATCTAACTCCGTCCTTTTTTCATTTAATGTCATCAATAACCTAAAAAAAAATTGACCCTTATGGTTCAATGTATATGAATTTTTTAATTAATTGTACTTTTATGTCTCAACATTCAATTTTTTTTTTCACTCTTTCTGTTTCCTCATTTAATTCCTCATCTGTCCTTTCATCCATCTCCTACCTTTTTGTTGTCAAACGCTGCCAATAACTTTAAAAAGTTTTATGAATTGTCAATTTTGTACTTCATTTTCTATTAAAGTTGGATACCTCAACCCAATGAAGATTTTTCTCTCATCGCATTATAGTTTGCAGGGGTCATATATGTTTTTAATTGGATTTCTATCCAAGCATGCATAAAACATAAAAACATGAAAAACACATTAAAGTTTCACACATGTTTAAGGATATACGTAGATGACAAGTAAAATTGATTTTGATAAGATTATAAGATAATAGTGAGATTAAATATTGTAATAATAAAATATATATTTAAATATAAATATAATGATAGTGATGAAATGAAGTATAATAAAAAAAAATTATTATTAAGAATTATAAGCTAAAATCTGTATGTAATAGAAGTTTTAAATTATTTATTATTTATGTAGTTATCTATTTGTGTTAATTCATATTAATTATAAAGATATTTATTTTTATTTATTTATTAATAATTTAGTTTATTATAGAATTTATTGTTTATTTATGTATTTATTCAACTTCTAGATATTTTATTTATATAATTATAAAAATTATTTATTATAGTAAATCAAAGAATTTATTTGAAATTTGTTAAATAAAAAATGAAAAAGAAAAAGGATAAGTAATATACACTTTTTGTCTCTAAATTATAGCTCTAAAGGTGAAAAAGAGATCCAATCAATGCATCAATCCGATTGAGACTTGCAACCACACCATAGTGTAGCTAACCGGTGGTCCAAATGGCCCATAACAAGTGTTCCTTACTTTTATTAGTAAGCATGAACATCACCAATACAAATGTGGTTGGAAAATTCCATATCTTGGACCAAGGCTTGACATGGGCCACCATCGAGGGCTTTAAACTCCCGTGTGAAGCTCACCGTTTTGAGTTGAACAAACTCTGTACAAGTGCTTGGATATTAAGCCCATATTTGGACGTGCCATGCTTGGGCTATCTCTCAGCTTCGATGGGGCTATGGATATCTAGTTGCTTGTCAAAGAAAGGAAAAAAAAAAGAAAAATCTGCCCAATGATTTTGGGTAAATGCCATTAAGATCCTTGAGTTTTTAATATAATTAAATATAAGTCTGTTAGTTTAAACAATAGACAATTCGTCCCAAAATTTTAATTTTACAGGACAATTAAATTCTTTCATATCAAAAATAATTTTTTAAAATCATTTTATCCTTAAAAAATAAGTATTTTCAAATACTCATATAGAGTAATATTTAATAATAATAATTTTTTATTTTTCTAAAATATATCAAATCTATAATAAAAAAATTTAGATACAACATAAAAAAAATAACTTATATGTATAAAAAATAAATATATTAAGTGTATAATATTATTTTTTGCATGTAACAATTTAAAAAAATAAAAGAACATGAAGGATATGATATGAAAAAAGGTTGGTTAAAAAAAAAAGAAAATAATCATAACTGAATATTTATCAATTCGGTTTTAGTTATTATAATACTCGCATATTTTTTAAACTTAAATCTATATAGTTTGTGAAAATATAGTGATAATAATCTTATTCATTTTAAATTAAAAATCATTTATAAGAAGTAAACCTAATTTAAAAAGTTGTAATGTTTAAAACAAATAATTTTGTTATTATATATTCAATAGATATATAAAATAAAGATTAATATATAAAAATATAAAAAGGTTTAGGTTTGATGGGTAGTTTTGTAATTGTCTGACTGATTGGGGTGGATTGTCTATTTTTCAAACTAATAGACTTATGCTAAAATATTATATTCAAAACTAGAGGACTTTGATGGAATTTATCCAATGATTTTCTATGTAAAATGTGATTTTAGTTTGCTTTTGCTGCGATTTTTCTTGTCTTTTTTTTTTTTAATGTAAAATGCAACAAGTTGTGTAGGTAAGCATTGATATCTAATCATAGTTCATACCTAGTTCTATCTAAACTTAGGCATATTTATCCTTATAGTAATTCTTCAAAATTTTCATATAGTTTTCATTTGCCCCCCAAAATTACATTCTACAATCTATTTTTTAACCTCACATTCAAATTCCATAAACTTACTCTTATATGCATGTAGAAGGTAGGAGGATTCCTTCAGAGATTAGACTCCAAAAACTCATTCATTGTGGCAACCTGTTCATCATCAAAATTGTACTTAATTTGCGTTAAGTTATGATTGAAGACTGTGAACCTTTCGGGAGAGAGCCTTTGTTGGATGCCAAGTGCTTTAAGTGAAAAATTAACTCTAGCCTGTCAATTTTTTGGTAGAGTTGTGCGTGTTCACTGTTTCAGAATTCAGATAGGCTGTTCTGGTACTAACCATATAACTTATGTTCTCCTATCTCATTTTTTAGTTAGATTCAGATATCATTACAACCAAGTTTTCTGGTCAGATGTCTGAATTCGGATTCAGGAACTGCTATTTTTGTTTTACAACTTATTACTTGTTTTTATTAAAAAGATTTTTCTGTTTTTTATCGTTTTTAAGCAGCATGAGTTTTAATTTTTTTCCTGTTCTTGTTTGGAACGGTTTCTTGACGGTCAAAGGTTTCTATGTCTTTTCATGTTTCAAAGAAGGGAAAGCAGGAATGTTTAGCATTTCCTTATCTCTTGTATAATGTCTAAATTCATTCAATTCTCACGCTTTTCGTCTCAATTTGGTCAAAAAACACTATGGTTGGTTCTTGATTACCTATTCTTGTCCAGGTGTGAAAGTGGGTGCGGCATCTCAATTTCATAATACAAGTACGATTGACCCAGTTCAATTCTTCCACGTACATAATTAAGTTTACTACAATTTATTTTTATGAACATAACATGGGCATTTGCTTGTATTGTAGTGAGACAAGACCAGTCCTTTGATTAAATGGAGATCGGCAAAGGACGAAACCCATGCTCCAGACTGGCTTTCCAAACTTTATCCATGCTAAACATGGTTTGACCGCACTCATGAACGTTCCATCCTTCCAGACCATGAATGATCCCAGCCACCCGCCATGCACTCATCACTCTTCTTGGCAACCAATTCTGTGTCATATTCAGATACATATCTTCAATAATTAAGAGAAAAAATAGTAAAAACTGGCAACTTAAGCGACATATTTTGATATGCATGCACATATCCAGTTGCCAAAGATGGAAAGAATGGTCAGGAAATTAGGAAGATCTCTATACTGACCTCGCAAGAATGCAAGTTCTCCAGAGATTTAGGAGCCACCATGGCGGGAGTAGTGTGGTAGTAGCAGTCTTTGCGCACTTTCTTTGGTTGGAATTGTGAGAAGGGAATAAATAATGTCCCTTTTTTTGCCTTCAACTGTTCTCTTTCGGTGAATCCCTCCCCCACCACCCATATCTGCAAATGCTAATTACCCATTTTTATTTTTGTTTTAATAGCAGGTTAACTAGTCTTAATTACAAATTCTCACTAATCATATTCTTACAAACAAAATTTACCTTTTGATCATAGTTATCTGGAAGAACCAAGTTATTTCCAAACCTGTCACTCTGCTCAAACTGCTTGTATTTATCCTCTTTTGTTGTGGCCACCTGTTCATCAAAATTGTACTTTGTATTACGATGT